CTGCGGGCCGAGCCGACCGGCCTGCGCCCGGCCTCCCGGAGCCGGCGGCGCTGCAGTGGCGCGAGGCGGCCACACGATGGCAGTAGAAGAAAGACGGTCGGAGGGATTTCTCCTGGCGGCCGCGCCTGAGCCGCCCGGACAGCGGGAGCCGCACTGGGCACATCCACGACGTCGCTAATTTATTTCCTTTTGATATGTATTTATATAGGCAACTCGGCACAGGGTGAGAGGAGATTAGGTAGGAATCGAGGCCATGTAAGATTTTTTTTTTTATTGTGTGTTCACCCCCCCAAGTCAAGACTCCCTGGGTCACCATCTGACCCCCCGCCCTCTTCTGCCCCCTTCCTGCTGGTAATGACCACACTGTTCTCGGTGCCTGTGAGTGTTGGTGGGGGTTTGCTTAATCCCTTCACATTTTTCACCCAGCCCCCAAACCCCCTTCCCTCTGACAGCTGTCAGCCTGTTCTCTATCTTCGAGTCTATTTTGTTAGTTTATTTTGTTCACTAGATTCCACATATAAGTGAAATCGTATGGTGCTTGTCTTTCTCTGACTGGCTTATTTCACTTAGCGTCATACTCTCCAGGTCCATCCCTGCTGTTGTGAAAGGTAAGATTTCCTTCTTTTTCACGGCTGAGTAGTATTCCACGGTGTAAATGTAACACTGCTTTTTCACCCACTCACTTACTGATGTGCACTTGGGCTGCTTCCAAACCATGCAAAAATTGATAAGGCCCGGAGGAAGCAAGAACATAATAGCTAGTGGAATATATGGCCTCATCTTCCAGAGCCCCCAAACTCTGTGTTCAGTCACTGATAAGACAGAAAATGACCTAAAACCTACCAGTGAGATACTATCCCTTATCTTTGTGTGGGGTCATGTGCTCCAAAAGCCAAACTGAACAATTACAATTTACTGAGCATCTACTCTGAGCCAGGTACAGTACAAAACTTCATGTGGCTGACATTCACTTCTCAAAATAACCTTTGTGGTGGGGTGGATGGAATCCCATTTTATAGATGGGGAAGCAGGCACAGACAAGCTGGTGTGCTAAGCGAGGCCACATAGCTACTGTGCAGTGGGATCCCATGGAGGTCAGGAAAGCCTTTTAAGCCTTTAGAAGTTAGAGGGTAGAAGGCCAGGCGGGAGCCACTGTAAAGCTTAGAATCCCAAGAAGGTTCCAGAAGGTAGAGGTATTTTTGTTTGTTTTTAATCCACACCTGAGGATATTTTTTCCCTTGTTTTTCAGAGATAGTGGAAGGGAGGGAGAGAGACACATCGACTGGTTGCCTCCCTCAGGGGGACCGGGGATGGAGCCTGCAACAGAGGTACTTGCCCTTGGTCAAAATCGAACCCAGGACCCTTCAGTCCATGGGCCGACGCTCTAACTACTAAGCCAAACCAGCCAGGGCGAGATAGAAGAGTTTTATAGAGGCTGCGTCAGCTCAGCCAGTTGCACCTCACTGGCCACGGCTGGGCCTCAGGACCACCCCTGAACCTCTCCCAGTGGCCAGGGTATGGGATGGAGCAGTCCAGGTCGCAGGCTTCATGTCTGAGCATCGAGGACTATTTGATACCAAACAGGAGCATGGGAAGTGGGGAGGGGATTATTCCCAAAGGAAAACCAGAGTCTGGAACCAAAAGAGGGGTGGGTTGTGTTTTTAGGAGGCACAGGTTCCCCAGGCCCTAGCAGCCTGGGAACTGGTTAGACAGGGAGAATCTCAGGCCCCACCCAGACCCACTGAATCAGAATCTGCATCTTAAGGAGACCCCTGGGTGATTTGCATGCACGTTCGAGGAGCGGGGCCCTTACATAATACAACCATCAGCTCAGGCTATTCACATTGTCACAGTGCAGCATTGCACTTACACCGCCCGACGGGCAGAGCCCATTTAAGATTCACTAAGTGCTCTGACCGGCCCTTCACAGCACAAGGGTCCAGATCAGGATCAAGTGTTGGATCTAGTTGTCAGTGGTCTCCGGTTTACAACAATCTTCAGCTCTCCTCGACTTTCCCCACCTTGACACACACAGGTTTTATAGAATAGCTGTCAATTTGGATTTGTCTGGTATATTTTCATGATTAAATCAGGGTCAAGCGCCTTTGGCAGGTGTATCACAGAAGCGATGTAGTCGTCTCATTGCATCCTACCAGGTGATTTCAATTTGTCCTGCTTTGAGGATGTTCACTTTGACCCCTTGATGAGAGGGGTGTGCGCCAGGCTTCTCCAGTCAAGTACTATTTTCCCTGCTTTTGTAATAAATAAGCATTTTGTAAGTAGGTACTTTGAAATATGTAAATTTCCTATTCATTAAACTTTCCATTCCTTTGAAAATGTATCAATATCAACTTGTGGTTTCCTACTTTATTCAGTGTGTTATATCCCTCGACTATCATTATTAATTTTGATGCTGAAATTGCCCGGTTTGGCCATGGGAGACCAGTCATTGACGCGCCCCCTCATTCCGTGAACACATGCTCTCACAACAGAGCCTTCCAGGCTCATCGTGTACATCCCCACCCTGCTCTGGAAACAGACGTTTCTCTAAAGAATTACGGTTCCTCTTAGTGGAAAGTGGTTTGTAAAAGCCAAGATCTGAGTGACAGGCATGCCCACTACTACTGGGGTGTCACTGCTCTCAGGCCTTCTTGGCGGACAAAGCTGAGGAATATATGCTATCTGCACATTAACATACCCAGTTCCGATCCAGCACCACAGGGCTGGCTCCACTCTCCCTCCTCCAACTGTAGCAGCTTAGCTTCCATCAGCCTCAGTATTTTCGCTCGTCTGGCTAATGCCCTGCGTAGAACCACGTTCCACCTACCTGCTGCCTTCCGGCCCTCCCCGCCCTGCTGGGCTGCCGCTCCCGCCAAGCTGTCCCCAGTCGCACGGAGGCCTTCCTCACCCTACTCTGGTCCCCCACAGCTCCCCCCACCCCCGCTGGGCACCTAATGGCTTTAGGCCCGAATGGAGAAGGGAGGAGGAAGCGGCTTTGGGTTTTTTCGTTAACTCCCCAGTGGTTCCTGTGCAGAGGGTCGACAGCCACCGAGGCCCGTCGTTTGTCCCTGTGAGAGTTACTGCCACTCAGCCTGCAGAGGGTTTTCCAGCTCAGTGGGCTCCGGGGTGCAGGGCTGTCGGGGAAGGGGGCAGTGCCAGCAGAGATGGAGAAACTCCGGCTGCCACCTTTCAGGTTTTTTTTTGTGTTTTTTTTTCCCTAGAGCATCTCACATCCTTGGTTCCCCACGCTGGAGCTTTAACAAATGCCAGTGTGGCCCAACCCCTAGAGATTCTGATCCCACTGGTCTGTTTTTAAAAAATGCTTCCCGGGCAGGTGAGGCCGGGAGAACCCGTTCCAGAGCACACAGCAGCCCGGTTAGCCCGCCCTGCGCTGCCAGGGTGGGGGTCTGCGGATGCGTCCTTATCGAAAGCGGGGATTGCAAACTTTTCCTGTTAAGGGTCAGAGAGCAAATAGTTTAGGCTTTGAGGCCACAAGGCCTCTGTCACAGCTAATCGACTCTCGTTGCAATGTGAGAGCCGCAGGCCTCTCCAGAGTGCGGTGGTGTGGCCGTGTTCCAACGGAACACTCACAGAAGCGGGCGGCCTGCTGGACTTGGCCCCAGGCTCTGGTTTGCAGACTCTCCATGAAAACGTAGCGGTTTTGAAATTTGCATTTCAAGCCCTCCAACTTCAAGTTATGCTGTAGACAGGGAAATTTTAATTAAGCAGAAAATAATTACCTGTATTGACCCAAATATTTCCTGATGTGATTTAACTGTCCTAACCTTGCCCCGGGTCAAGCTAGTCTCCCTGGTCGGGCTCACAGAGGCAGAGCTTCAATTTGCCTTTTTCTTTCCTGCTTTTCTTCTGGTTTCGATCGCAGATTAAACAGCTAGCAGTAGCGATATTTAAATCCGCACCAAACACAACTACAGACCTGGGGCTCAGGGTTCTACTGAGACGCAAATTAGTCCCTTAGCAGAGGGGCTCGGCACAGCCGCCTGTGCCACTGTCCCTTGGGCCTAGCACGTGTCAGGAGCACCAGGCAGGCTCTGCGGAAGGAGCTAGGGGCTC